GCGCGGGGGAGGCACCCAGCTGCGGGCCCACCCTCATCTCCTGTGCGTGTGAGGCTGTGGGGCTGGACGCCTCTCTGGCGCCTCCGCTTGGAGCAGACAGGGGTGTGGGCGGTGCCTCTGGGGGGCACGTGGAGCGCAGGTCAGGGACCTCAGGGAGGGGTCTGAGGAGGGTGACTGAGCACTACACTCTGAGCCCCAGAGGACGCTCCAAGCTGCCAGAAGAGAACAAACTGCTAAATTGGACGTCATTAAAATAAAGACCATCTGCTTGTCAAAAGGCACTGTTACGGAAATGAAAAGACAAGCCACAGACTGGAAGAAATATTTGCAAAACATTTACTGGATCTGCAAAAGGACTGGTCTCCAAAATACACAGAGAAAACATAATTTGACATTAAGAAAACAAACAGTCCGATTTGAAAATGGGCAAAGCACCTGAACAGACACCTCACCAAAAAAGACATGCACTTGGCAAATAAACACACGGAAAGGTGCTCAATGTCACGGTCACTGGGGAGTCGCAGATTAAGACAACAGCGATATCACCGCACACCCGCTGGCATGGGTAAACCCCAAATGCTGGCCACGCCGGGTGCCGATGGAGCCACAGGAGCGCTCATCCGCCTGGTGAGAGTGAGAAGGGCCACCGCCACTTTGGACGGCAGCCTGGCGTTTGTTTTGCAACTACACATGCTTCTACCAGATGGCTGAGTGATGGTGCTTTTTGGTATTTACCCAAATAAGTTGAAAATCCATGTCCACACGGAAAGCAGTACATGAATGTTTATAGCAGCTTCATTCATAATTGCCCCAAACTGGCATCAACCAAGATGTCCATCAGTAGGTGAATGAATAAACAGATCAGGGTACATCCATACAATGGAATATTATTCAACAACGGAAAGAAATGAGCTATGAAACCACGGGAATACATGGAAGCGCTTTAAGTGCCTATTGCTAAGTGAAAGAAGGCAACATACTGGAAAAGGCTACATACTGCATGGTTTCAACTGTATGATATTCTGTAAAATGTGTTACAACGGAGACAGTAAAAAGATGATTGGATTCCAGTCTAATTAATAAAATAATGGTGTCAATTTCTTTACTATATTAGCCTACTCAGTATATCCATTTCTTTCGTCAAATTGGCAAATTGTATTTTTGAGAAATTTCTTCATTTTACCCAAAGTGCCAAATTTATTGGTGAATGTGTAATATCCTTTTATTATCTTTTTTAGTGTGTATAGGACCTCTTTTTCATTCATGATATTGATAATTCTCTCTCTCATCAGCCTTGCTGGGGTTTATCAATTAGTATGTTGTTTTCTAATTTATAGATTTCTGTAATCACACTTATTTCCTTCCTTCTACTTTCTTGAGGATTGATCTACTGTTCTTTCTCTGGCTTTTTGAGATGTAAATGTAAATAATTGATTTTTAGCTATTGCTCCAGTCTAAGATATCCTTTTTATGGAAATAAATTTTCTCCAAAGCATGGCTTTAGCATCCTAAGAGTTTCAATATCATATATCCATTATTAACCAGTTTAATATATTTTCTAGCTTCCATTTTTATTTTATGTATTTTTTTGACCTGTGAATTATTTAGGGATGTTGTGCTTAATTCCCAAGCAGTTGGGATTTTCTCTTTATATATATAATTTTAATCCTCACCCGAGGATATATTTTTCCATTGACTTTTAGAGAGAATGGAAGGGAGAGGGAGAGACAGAAAGAAACATTGATGTGAGAGAGACACATCGATTGGTTGCCTCCCGCATGCCCCTGACTAGGGCGCATGCCCCTGACCAAGGCCAGGAGCCTGCAACCAAGGTACGTGGCCTTGACCGGAAACGAACCGGGGACCCTTCAGTCCGCAGGCCGACACTCTATCCACTGAGCAAAACCAGCTAGGGCTAATATTTTTATTGATAGTCTAATTTCAGTGCAGTCAGAGAACATACTTTGTTTGATTTCAATCATTTGAAATTTGATATTCTATTTGTATTTAAAAGTAATGTGAATTCTGTCGGACACAGTGTTCTATTTCAAAAAGATCACATTTATTTTATTTATTTACTAGGGGCCCAGTGCATGAATTCGTGCACCTTGAAAGGAACTGTGGGTCGAGAGGCTGTGGTAGGCACAGGGGTGGGTCTCGGCCCATCCTCCACACCCCCACCTGGCCCCTCCTGCCTTGGCCCCCTGTCCCCTGTCTACCGGCAGCCCTGTTCCTGCTGCCACCACTCCCGCCGGCCCCGCTTACACCCACTGACAGCATGGAGCAGTTGGGCCTGGCACCAGCACTAGCAGCAGGTGCAAGCAGGGCCAGTGCTGTCAGTGGGTGCGAGCGGCGGTTGTTACCCCGATCGCCCCTCAAGAGCAGGGGGTGGAGAAGCCCTCAGGGGTGATAGGGCTGGCAGCTGCCGCTCGCACCTGCTGATGGCACCGAGTGATTAGGACCAGCACCAGCAGTGGGTGTGAACAGTGACTCCGGTGCCAGCTGTGGGTGCAAGCAGGGTTGGCGCCGTCAGCAGGTGTGAGTGTCAAGTGGGACTGCGGCGCATGGGAGCAAAGAATTTTCAGTAACCACCAGAGGCTCGCCCCCACGACAACAACCGGCGACCTGCCTTAGTCTGGCGACCCCGCTCACCTGCTCCACCATCCCACCACGGCCAATGCCCACCATATTCCGCACACGCCCCCTGGAGGTCAGCACACGTCATAGCGATCAGTTGTTTGGTTGTTCCAGTTGTTCTGCTGTTCAGTCTCTATGCATATTAGCCTTTTATTATACAGGATAGAATTATTTATATTTTTTAAATATATTTTTATTGATTTCAGTGAGGAAGGGAGAGGGAGAGATAGAAACATCAATGACGAAAGAGACTTATTGATTAGCTGCCTCCTGCATGCCCCTTACAGGGGATGGAACCTGCAACCCGGGAATGTGCTGATTAGGACCAGCACCAGCAGTGGGTGTGAACAGTGACTCCGGTGCCAGCTGTGGGTGCAAGCAGGGCTGGAGCCGTCAGCAGGTGTGAGTGTCAAGTGGGACTGCGGCGCATGGGAGCAAAGAATTTTCAGTAACCACCAGAGGCTCGCCCCCACGACAACAACCGGCGATTGAGTTCCTGCAGTATCAGTTATTGTGTGTAACTCATAAGCTGTTGCTGGTGATCCTTGTGCACTTGGGAGTTCTAAAAATAATAGTTCTTAACTCTCTCCCTGCTGCAATGTGGAGGGGCCGGATGAGGACTGATCCCCGAAGAACTGCTGCAGGGATGAAGGCTGTGAATAACCAATGTTATGGGAGAGTTCACAGTGGCTGGTGGTAGATAGAAACATCAATGATGAAAGAGACTCATTGATTAGCTGCCTCCTGCAAGCCCCATACAGGGGATGGAACCTGCAACCCGGGAATGTGCTCCAACTGGGAATTGAACCATGACTTCCTGGTTCATAGGTCCATGCTCAACCACTGAGCCACACCAGACAGGCAAGATCACATTTATTAATTGTTTCGTCCGGATCCTCTATATCACTACTGGTTTTTTGTCTATTTGTTCTATCAGCTATGGAAAGAAGTGTGTTAACGTATTTCACTGTGGCTGTAGAGATGTGGAAACAGTCTCTGCTTTATAGTTTAAATGCATGTCATGGGATGCCTGCAGACTCATGATGGTGATATTTTCTTGTTGGATTGACTCTTTGATCTTTATAAAATGTCCCTCTTTATCTTTTGTTTCTTGCCTTAAAAATGTTTGATATTTGGGTCATGTGTGCATGGTGTTATCCTTTTAGTTTCTCTGTGTTCTTAAGATTTAAAGTATGTCTCTCATGAACAGTGTATAATTTTAAAAAATCATTGGACAATACTAGGTATAGAATTCTAGGTTGAGGGGGTTTTGCAGCCCTTTGAGGGTGTCATTTCGTTGTCTTCTGGCTTCTACTGTTACTGTTGAGAAGAGAGATCTCAGTTTTATCGTTGATCCTTTGATAATAACATGTATTTTTTCCTTGGGCTGTCTTTACGTTTTCTTCATTGCCCTCCCCCTTCCCTGCCCCCACTCCCCACAGGAGTTTGACAACGAGGTACTTGTGTGTTTTAAAATATAAACTCCAGATTTTATTGGAATTTCACCCATTTTTTGCATTAATATTCTCTTTCTGTTTCATGAGCCAATCCGGGTACCACATTGCATTTGGTTTTCAGGTTTCCTAAGTCTTCTTTGGTCCTTCCTCGTTTTTTTATGACACCGACTGTCCGAGGAGCTGGTCAGATTATCCTGTAGAATGTCCCACATGGGTTCCCCGATATCTTCTTCGTTAGACTAGGGTTATGGAATTTGGGGAAGAAATCGGAAGTGAAGTGCTCTTCTCATGTAATTTTGTTTTTATTCTGTAGGAGACTTGCTGAGCTTACTGAACGGGTGGATGAGATTGGCCGAGTTAAGAGCTGTTGTGCCCCTTCACTGTTGGCCAGTTGGATGTTAGGAGCAGATGCTGCACCAGGCCCAGGCCCAGGCCCGAGGAGGCAGCACCTGTCGCTGCTTTCCTGTTTAGAGCTAACACGCCGGCCCGAGGTGCCGGGGGGACCCACCCAGCAGACTGGAGCCCAACCTGCAGCTCGAACCCAGCCACTCTGAGCCCGACCTAGACACAGGGCCCCCTCGATGCCCAGAGATGCATGAGCGAGACTAACTAAGCACAGTCAGTGCACAGAGCATCGGTGTGCTTTCCTGTTTGCAAGAGGGGCCGGGGCAGACCTGGGGCATCTCACACGTCCTTCTGCCTCCATCTCCAGCAGCCGTGTTTGGAGCAGTTGTGTTTGGTGCTCCGTACTCCTCCCAGGTCACAGCTGTGCTCCACCACCCCTCTCCCTCCTCTTCTCTCCCTCCCCGTGCCCCAAGACTGGCAACTGCCCCAGACCCGGAGGGCCAGCATTGAGCTGACTTTCCTTCCTCCCAGCAGCATGGTAAGGCTTAAATGGAACCGTGCCGGGGAAAATTTAAGCACAAATACCTTTTCTACAGAGAAGAACATTCCCCAAACCAACACAACAACCCCCCAAGAATCTTATTTCTGCTGTAGGTGAAATAATGTATGTGAACTGCCCAACTAGCAGTTAACTGTCACACAACAAAATAACTCTCGGTCATTAAATACAAGATTGATGTTTTATTTAACAATAATATTAAATTCAATTCATCCCTACCCTTGCTCATATAGTAGGACATCTTGTTCACACAATAAAAAATATTGACAGTATAGAGCCGGCCACTCTCTGGAGCCTGGCTGGGTGGGAGGAGTGGCGACTCCGGGTAGGAGCTGGCCCTGCCCACGTCTCTCCAGTTGTGAATCCTCTGGGCTCCGATAGGCCCAGAACCTTTGGATCAGGATGAAGCAGGAGAGGAAGGAGGGGGTCTGTGGGGGATACAATTGTCCTTGGACACCTCTCCTCTCACACAACATGCCCACCTCCGCCAGTTCAAACCCTGGCCCCGGCCCTGCCCTCCACCCGATTGCCCTGGCCTTTATTTATTTGTTTGTTTATTTATTTATTTATTTATTTATTTATTTATTTACTACCCTGGACCTGAGGATCCTTTTTCACTGATTTTTAGAGAGAGTGGAAGAGGGAGAGCGGGGGACAGAGATGGGGGGCTGGTCTGAAAAGTCTCATCCACATTTCTGGGGTTGAGGGGACTGAACTCCGGACACAAAGGGTTTCCCAGGCCTTTGACAAAGGAAGGAGTGGGCCCGCTGGGCTGCAGGTTGGGAGCGGAGGCCTAACCCAGACCTCAGAGCACCAGGGCCTCCGGTCTTTCTTCTAGAAAGGATATGGAGCATGTTGGTGGCCGGGGCCCTCAGAGGTCAGCTCTCCTTCTACCTCCGGAATCTGAGGGGCTGTGTGGCCAGGCCGCTCTCTCCCTAAAGCCTGTTTCTGTCTCAAGCAGAGCCCCGGGGCCCCAGACACCACCGACGTGCTGCCCTGCCCAGTGCGGGGCCCACGGCAGGACCTGGACCCCACGCAGGCCCCTGTGGTTCTCCACCAGGAGCGAGACCCTCACCGCCAACCGACCG